GGTTGGGGCAGGCAGGATGGCAGCTCCTCGCTAAAGGGTTCCTTCGGTCTGGATCTGGAAAGATGAACAGGGCAATCACCGTCATTGCCCTGTTCCCACGGCCTTAACCTGGGCGCTCCCTTTGTGGTCTGATGGCATCACACCATCTGGGGGGGGGGGTCAGGGCTGTGATTCCAAAAGCCTCCATTTTTGGAAGTCCCCCCCTTTATTCTGGAAGAGCAACTAACTGAATAGTGCCAAGGTCATTTCCCTCTCTGGTACTTCACCCTGGATACAATTTTCAATACCTTCCGGTCATTTCGCCACTCTCTTTTAATTTTCTCCTAGGCTTTAAATGTGTAATCTGTTTTGAGGACAATTTTTTTACCAAGCCAGATAAAAATAAAATTAAAGTTAAAGAGAGGGGCACCCTGTAAGGCTAAGAGATGGCTCCAAAATTGAAGAGAGGAACCAAGGTGAGCTATGATCCACCCTCTTTCCCTCCCCCAGACCAATTTACTGACCACTGCACAATTCAGCAAAGCCTCTTGTGTGCCGGGTTCATCTGCTTGCCCAGATACCAAAATAGCTACAGGTAGTCCTCGCTTAACAACCACAATAGGGACTGGAAAATCCATTATTAAGTAGGGCAGTTGTTAAGTGAGCCACACCCAATTTTATGACCTTTTTTGCAGCAGTCATTAAGTGAATCACTGTGGCCATTAAGTGAATCATGTGGTTGTTAAGTGAATCACATGGTTCCCCATTGATTTTGCTTGCCAGACACCATCTGGGAAGGTTGCAAATGGCAATCATGTGACCCTGGGGTGCTGCAACCGTCATAAGTACAAGCTGGTTGCTAAGTGCCTGGATCACGATGACGTGACCGCAGGGGTGCTGTGACGGTTGTAGGTGCAAGGATCGTTTGTGAGTCCCTTTGTTCAGCACCGTTGTAACTTTGAACGGTCACAAAACAAATTGTTAATTGAGAACTACCTGTACTTTCTGTTTGCATCCACACCAACATAATCTGTGACCCTGGAAGGCGGGCGCTGGGATGGCAAAGGCCACCGCTATCCAGGGCAAGTGGGAGGGCGGGGAGAGGGCCAGCTTGCTTAAACTAAGGGATGCAAGAACAGCTGGCAATGGCTTGCATGGAGGGGGAGAGGCATAAAAAGGGATTCTTCCCAGGGTATTCTGGCGCTGAGGCTTACATGGTCTAGTTCAGTGTTTCTCAACCTTGGC